TCTGAGACATCTCCATGGCTGTGGTAGCCTAAATAGCTGGAATAGTTGAGATCTCTTCATGGCTGCGATAGCCCGATTAGCTGAAGTAACAGAGACATCTCCCTGGCTGCGGTAGCCTAAATAGCTGAAATAGCTGAAATATCCCTATGGCTGCGGTAGCCCGATTAGCTAAAGTAACTGAGATATCTCCATGGCTGCGGTAGTCTAAATAGCTGGGATAGCTGAAATATCCCTATAGCTGTGATAGCCCGATTATCTATTATTACTAGAAAACGCAGTTTACTAGAAAATGCAGTTTTTTTAAATTCGATAAATCCGGCGTAACATTAAAATGCCTACTTCCTACTAAAATATAATTGAAATCTATATTCTAAAGAGTATAAATTATAGAGTATATTCTATAGTATAGTTTAGAATTTAAATAATATGAATTAGCTTATTATTAGCTAAGTAATAATTAACGAAAGAATTTAAAACTATCTATCTTAACTATAGCTTACTTCTTAACTAGTAATAATAACTTCATAGTAATTATAGAAGCTTTATACTCATAGATATCGTAATTAATATATATTACTATCTATTATTCGAGTTTAAGACTAAGCGATCTTAAATAGAGAGTAATAGATTAGCTAGAAATAAAAAAGCTCGCTTAGCTATTAGCGAGTAAATATTATATTTAATACTAATATTTACTTCGCAGTAGCTAGGCCTATTTACTATAATAAATTTAACTTATAAAAGTAGCTATATATCTATATAGATCGTAAGATATATATTATTATTATATTTAGTTATTATAGAATTTTAATAAGAAGTAGATATTTTAATATTACGTCGGATTTATCGGACTTAAAAAACTGCATTTTCTAGTAAACTACGTTTTCTAGTAATAATAGGTAGCTAAAGTAACTAAGATATCTCTATAGCTGCGATAGTCTAAATAGCTGAAATAGCTAAAATATCCCTATAGCTACGATAGCTTAAATAGTTGAAATAGCTAAAATATTTTCATAGCTACGATAGCCTAATTAGCTGGACTGGCTGAAAATCCCTCTGGCTGCGATAGTCTAAATAGCTAAAATAACTAAGATATCTTTATAGTTACGATAGTCTAACTAGCTAAAATAGCTGAGATATCTCTATAGCTGCGATAGCTTAAATAGCTGAAATAACTAAGATATCTTTATAGCTATAATAGTCTAACTAGGTAAAATAGCTAAGAAATCTTTATAGCTGCGATAGTCTAAATAGATAAAATAGTTAAGACTTCTTTATAGCTACGATAGCTAAGATATTCTTATAGCTACGATAGCTTTAATAGCTAAAATTATTAAGATATTCTTACGACTGCGATAGCTTAAGTAGTTAAAATAACTAGAATATTTCTATATCTACGATAATCTAAATAACTAAAATAGTTATCGAGATAAGATATCGAATAATCTTAATTCGTTTAAATATATATCGTTCGATAGATAACTCTTATCTATAGAGATTTAATTAACTATAATCGACGTAGTAGATTCTTCTCTTATATACTTATTATAGTAATATACTATAATATAATATTATCTAAATACGCGAAGATAGTAGATTAAATTATAATATCGTTCTTCGCTTACTATATAATAATTTAATATAGAATCGTAAAGAGTATATAACGTAAGATCTTGAAGAGCTAAGTCGTATTCTTAATAATAATAGTCTTATTATCGCTTAATTTCTTCGTAATATTCTCCGCATTTATTTATTACGATAATTTCTTCTCTTATTTAACTAAGTACTCTAGCTAAGTAACTAATTAAGTAAATAACTAAGTAAATTAATATAAGATTATAAAGAGTAGATTTATTATATTACTACTACTACTAACTATCTTTATAAAATTCTCTATACTATATTACTTCTTTTCTTATTAAGTAATTAGCTAAGTAACTAGCTAAGTAGCTAATTAAGTAAATTAATATAAGATCGTAAAGAGAGAGTTTATTATATTATTACTACTGCTAATTATCTCTATAATTCTCTTTATAATATATTATTTCTTCTCTTATAGAATATTAGATTAAGTAACTAACTAAGTAGCTAATTAAATAAATTAATATAAGATCGTAAAGAATAGATCTATTATATTACTACTACTACTAACTATCTTCGTAATTCTCTTTATAGTATATTATTTCTTCTCTTATAAAATATTAGATTAAGTTACTAGCTAAGTAGCTAATTAAGTAAATTAATATAAGATCGTAGAGAGTAGAGCTATTATATTACTACTACTACTAACTATCTTCGTAATATTCTCTTAATTTTATATATCTAAATAAGTAGTTACGCTAACGTCGTATAAGATAACTTTATAATTAAATTATTATTTTATAATATAAAATAGTAATTTAATTTATAAGTAATCGACGAGGCTAATAACTACTCTATATGATTAGCCTATTAAATTATTACCCTTTTCGTTTTAAATTATTCTTTTAAATCATATTGCTAAATCTTTCTACGGCGGACGACGGCTGATACTATAATAAAATCAAAAAAGAATTCTCTTTTTATTTCTTTCTTCGCGATTTCTAGTAACTCTCTTCAAAATATTCTTTTTAGAATATTCTCAATTCTTCGAGAGATACTTTTTGAGATATTCTTTAGGGGCTACTCTCCGGGGTACTCTTCGAAATATTCTCCGAGGTACTCTCCGGGGGTACTCTCTCGGGTACTCTTCTGAGTACTCTTCCGGGTGCTTATAACGGATATTTTACGAAGTTCTTCGCAAAAAAAAAAAAAAAAAAATTTAAAAATTTACGGGACTTTCCGCGGAACTTCCCGCGAATTCTTTTTTCGCACTTTAAATATTTTCTCGAGTGATTCCTCGAGTAACTCTCTACTAGTACGAAGATCGATATTAAAAGTTCTAGATATACTAAGATAAGAGTTTAGATAGAGCTAAGTACTTAATATAATTTCAAATTTCATAAGTAATATTATTATTCTTTATTTTAATAAGTATTAATACTCTATATAATAGCGACGTAGTATATATATACGAAGTATAAATATATAAAGTATATATATAATAGCGATATTAATAGAATATATAATAGTAATAATATTAAAGTATTAATTATAGTATAAAGAAATAGAGAAAGAGTATAAAGACTTTTAATATATAAGTCTTATTTATATAATATAATAAATAGAAATCTTCTTATTATTCTCTATCTTAATTATTTTTTATTAATATATTTAATACTTAAAATATTAATTATAATAATAAGACTTAAATTTAAATACTTACTAAGTCTTATTAATTATAAATAAAATATTATACTACTTAAAAAAATATATTAAGAACTTATAAGAAAGTCGAAAGATAATAATTATATTATTAAAATTATAAGCTTATTTAAAAGAGAATTTAAAAGTAAATAAAGCGAATATCGAGATATATTACGAAGGTAATACGTTTTAAAAATAATAACGAGTATAGAAAAGATTATAAGAGAGATAATATATAATTATACGACTTCGTCGAGCGAACTAATAAGTATATACGTAATTATATAAAGTATTATCGTTAAATAAATGTAACTATATAGAAAATGCCAAGAATGCCAAGAGTGCCAAGTATTTTAGCGCTGTCCAGGACTTTTAATGCCGACCTCCGTATATTAAGTACTCTCTAAACTACTCTTCTCGAATACCTTCGAAAGTATACTCTCGAATAATCTCTTAAATCCCTTAGATACCCCATAAAGAATCCCCTAAAATATTTCTCTACGAAATCTCTTCAAATATTTTCTCAAGAAAAAAATTGGTTTTGGTTTTGTCGTAGTGTCAGCCCTCGTCCGCCGTATTGTGGCAAGAGAGATGCGATTCGCGAGCGGCTCCGCACCAATATTTCTGGTTGTTTGTCCCATTCTGAGTCTTAACTTTTCAAATCTTGAAACAAAAGCCCGCCTTCTGGTCGTACGCACCTTCAGCGATAGGGGTGACTACAACATCTCGCTTCAGGTTATTGATCCAGCGACACCACTACGCAGACGAGGCCCTCGGCTGACATTTGGACGTAGACGCCCGCATACCCCAGGATTCGCGAGTTTCCTACTTTGAACCCAATGGGTTCCCAGAGCATCCTGCCTGTACTTATTGTTCACAGAGCTGACTGCAACATTCATATCGTAGAAGACATCCGACCGGAGAAGTGGAAAAGCTGCAGCACACGTGAGAAATGTCCATTTGACCTCTGGACCGCATGCTTTTGGCCCGTCTGCGAGATTTTATGGTGTGCACCTTGTGCTCAGCACCTTGCCTTAAGCTTTGCGCATTCGCCATTTGCTCTTTTGCTTAGGTACTGCGTTTCTCGAATTTGAAGCTAGGATACTGTAACCGAATCGCCGGGACCCCCAAGAACTGTCTTGCCACTCGGTCAATGCCATTGTCACGTCCTGAGCATCACCAACAATTTTCTCTGTGAATATCTTCGGCCTCATTTCACTTGCAAAAATTAGAAGGTAGCAATGCAAACGTTCCATTGTTGCATGCAGCCATCTAGGCTGGTACGGTTGTGGCACCAGCGGCAGCGTTTCCCTGAGGTGTGGTAGCCTTTCAATTTTCGGTATCTCCGCACTGTCACTCTTGTTTGGCAAGATCAAGTCATGGCTGGTAGAACAATAATACTTTGGTAGAGTCTCTATGTTATTGCTGCTACTAGATCATTGGAAAGGAAGACCACAGGGACAGCAGCGTAGAATAGAATATGTTGTAGACACCCACCCCCATACTTTACTTGTACTGGACGGACTTGCCTTATCTCCGTGCCTACTTTACACGTGGACTTTTTCCGCTCCCCCACCTTGCCACGAAGGAAGAAGATCGTCACTTGCCATCATCAGATCCAACGTCCACAGTAGAGCGACTGTCTCAGAGTTCAGCGAGTCGGCGCTTAGCATCTGCTCCTAACTGCAATCTAAGAGAAGAGCGATTCCGACGCTATGGCTAATCAGAATCAGAATGGTAGCGATCTGTGGGCTGAAGCACTGACAGATCCCGGACTCGCCGCAAAAGACAAAGACTCAATCAAGGGCATCGCACCGATCAAGCTGGACGAATTGCTGCACAGCATAGAGACTCAGCGCGATACCTATCGTAATCAAAGAACTACCTTCAAAGGTCCTAAGGGCGAACGCGTCGTACTTAGTGATATCTTTGCAAAAGTCGCAAAGTGGATTAAGAAGTTTGTTGAGGTTGGAGACACGGCTGTGCAATTTGATCCTGGTCATGCTGCTCTTCCGTGGGCAGCTGTGCGCTTTATCTTACAGACCTCGCTCAACCATGCCGAGCAACACGCCGTCATCTTGGAAGGTGTGGAAACGGTCGCTCGTGTTCTCGCGTGGAGCAAGATTCAAGAAAGTCTTTACCTTGGGCAAAAAGCTGAGGCTGTGCATCTTTTGAAAGCAGATCTTGTGCGCCTATATGTTACGGTTCTTTCCTTTCTTGCAAAGGCATACCGTTTCTACTGTAAGAGGAGCAGTGGTAAGGCAACAGCTCAATTTCATATTGTCTCAAAGACTTGAGAAAAGCCTACTAATATTACACTGCTAACATGGCCCAGAGCGCGCATTCGGCTCCGTCTTCAAGTCGAGTGACCACTACTCAAAGAAGGTCCACGAGATATCAAGTCAACAACATGAAATTGAGCGCTACGCCGTTCAAATTCTAGCAGCAATCCTGATCGATCAAGTACAAGCTTCAGATACGAATCAAAGCAGGTTGTTTCATGCTTTTAAAGCCCTGAAAACCAGCCACTTAAAAGACTCAGATGCGAAGCAAACCAAGCTACTGGAATCTTTACAAGAAGTGAAGTTCAGCCTTGCAGAGGGCTTAGATGCAAAGCAAAGCAAGCTACTCGAAGCCTTGGAAGACCAGAAAATCACTCTTGCAGGAGACTGCAACGCAACCCAAGCGATTCTACTTGAAACTTTACAAGACTTGAGACTCAAAGTTGCAGATGACTCACACGCAATCCAAAGCAAGCTGCTTGAAGCTTTACAAGACCTGAAACGGCCCTTCTCTCACGTTCAGACTGTGAGTACAACAAGCAACGGCATCCTCAAAGACTTGCAACGTGATAAGATACTCGATTGGGTTTCTAGTACACGCCACCAAAGCCATCACTCACAGATCTACAAGAAAGTATTGAAAGGCACCGGTGAATGGCTTCTACGCAGTCCGGAGCTTTATGACTGGCTGGACTCCAGTTCATCACAGATGATGTGGTTGCATGGTATACCAGGCTCGGGAAAAAGCCGGCTCGTGTATGTCAATTTTTGCTCTAGTCATTTTTGCAAGAGCTAAGACCTCGTCAGATCCATTTTGGCCCACGACATGAAGGAAAGCCATGGACACCTCTCAGGAACTATGCCAACATACTCCTACTGTGGCATGGTTGAACAAAGACCTTTGGAATCGAAGCCTGAAACGATATTCCGTAGTCTAATACGGCAACTCATAGTCTCGGAGTCGGAACTACCAGAACCCATTCTCCGTTGGTACGGAAAAAGGGATGAACAAAGCGACAATCCACTGGGAGAAGCGGTTCGATTGATAAAAGAGATCGCCAGCGAGCGTTCGGTAACTTACATCCTCCTCGATGCTGTGGATGAATGCGACGGAGACGAGAGAGGAGAGATCCTGAAAGGCCTTGAAGAGATTCTCCAACAATGCTCGACGCTAATTAAGATCTTCGTGTCGAGTCGGAATGATCATGACTTCTCCAATTTCTTCAGCGGATATCCCCATGTGAGCATCAAGGCTTCGAAAAATCAAGGTGATATTGAGATGTATATCAACAAGATGGTACATGATGCGATCGTTGAGAAGCCGAAGAAACTTTTGTCAACAGTAGATGTCTCCGACTCTTTCAAGGACCAGATCAAGCGGACGCTTCGCGAAGGGGCTCAAGGCATGTAAGTTCACGAAGGTTCCAGACCCGACTGCCGAAGCAAATGCTCTTGCATCGTTCATGCTTCTCAACAGATTGCCAGCCTGGCGTCTTATGAATCTTTTAGACCAACACGAGAATCACGCTAATAGTATGTATACAAAAAGGTTCCTATGGGTAGAATTGCAGCTGCAATATTTGTGTACCCTCAAATCTAAAGACGATGTGGAGGACCGCCTAGGGCATCTGCCACCAACACTAATCGGAGTCTATGGAGATATCTACTCCAGAAATATCGAAACATTGGCGGAAAATTCCAAGATCCTAGTTGAGAACATTGTACAGTGGTTACTCTGCTGTCAGGAATCTCTGGAAATCGACGTCTTGATGGCGGCAGTCACTGCAAGCTCGAGACGAAAATGCTCGACAAAAGCACAGGTCCTGGATCTGACCGCCAATCTCGTCACTCACGACGAAGAACTCAATGTCTTTAGGTTTGCCCATCTCTCAGTCAAAGAGTATCTCGAGGAAGTTCGTATGGATTTTGCAAGTCCAAGAAATCACAAGACCGCGGCCATTGGGTCTCTGAGACTTCTCACAGATGACACGCAAAGCCTTGTTGAGGAAGTCCGTCACGAAGGGCGCGCTCAGAACCCACAGGCATATGCCTCGAAGTATTGGAGTAGACATCTAATGCAGTGCGGGGATCAGAAGCCAATGGAGGAGCCATACTCCCTTCTACAAGAATTTGCGGCACATCAGCCTCATTGGTGTTGGCAAGAACCAAATTTCGCGGAATACCAAGACAATAATTTCAGTAAACTGTTAGTTGGGACTGGAGCCTGGCTCTTGAAGTCTTCAGAAATGAATACATGGAAGAGTCGGACTGGTGACACACTATTTCTAAGTGGTGGGCCAGGTTTCGGTATTTAGTTCCCAAGCTTTATAGGGCTAGCTGTTGGATGCCCACTGGTGAATTCAAGCTGACCCATCCTAGGCAAGACTGTATTGACATCTATCACAATAGACCATCTGCAAGAACAATTTGCTGATGAGGCTTTCGCTGTCGCCTATGTTTACTGCAATCTTAATGAACAGTCTAGACAGTCATCAGTATATCTGGTGTTCAGTCTACTAAGACAGCTTGTCCAACAGAAACCTTCTCTTGCTAATCTCAGAGAGATTTCTGATGATCGCCACGACCCCTCGACACGCACAGCCATTGAGCATGTGTTCGCATTGCTACGACATAGCGGATCTTCATTCGAAAGAATATTCATAGTCGTGGACGGCCTTGATGAATTACTGCATGAAGATCTTCAAGAATTTCTCGCAAAACTTCACGAGCTACAGAGCTGTCTCCCGGTCAACTTGATGATTGTCTCGCGGCCGCATTCTTACATAGAAGCAGAATTGCGCACCGGTGGTAGATTGTTGGAATGCATAGATTTGATGAAGAGGTATACTAAGTTGGAAGATGTTGAGATTTGCTGCAGCACCTGTGTTGAAGCTACCTTATATGGTGGCAAATAGGGGTATAAGTAGCCCACTCAGCACTCTCATAGCTACCTAATCAATCAATCCTTCATACACATTTTCCAACAGGTTATGAGGCCCTCGCGCTGCTACTACGCAGTTGTTAATTATTGATTCAATCTTCAAGTATTAAGTCCAGCTTAGTTGTGGCAACTCCGACGACTTTACCACTATTATCACTATTCTTCACTGTTACCAGTATTACCACTATTCCAATACTATTCCACTATTTTCTACTACGACTACTACCCAAGCAAGAGGTCAGAGCACGCAGAGATTACCACTATTTCATTATAGATTCTACTACGGCTAGTACCCAAGTAAGAGATCAGAGCACGCAGAGGTTATTTAACTATAAACCAGTCATACCCGTGCCTAAGCAGTGGCCAAAGCTTTACTAGTCTTTGTTTTAGCCAGTGCCTAAGAAGTGGCTAGAGCTTTACTAATTATACCAGAGCTCAAGTAGCTAGAGTATTTAGTATCAAAATCATTAGTGAGCCTGCTACAATGGCAATTAATTCAACTATAATTCCGACCTCTTCATTGAGCAAGTCGATATTTAACTCTTTCGATATCAGTTACCAGGTCTCAAGTCGTGCTCGTGTCACACGTAAAGGGAAGATCGGGTCTGTGCTCGTGTCACAACTAGTTATTAGAGAGCCATTCTGCAGCATGGGGGTGTGGTCAATGGTGCTGCATCATGGGGGTGTGTTGAGATTTGCTGCAGCACCTGGGTTGAAGCTACCCCACATGCTTCAAAAATGTTGGAAATGTATGAAGGATTGATTGATTAGGTAGCTATGAGAGTGCTGAGTAGGCTACTTATACCCCCATTTGCCACCTGATTGCCACCATAAGGGGTAGAACACAGGTGCTGCAGCAAATCTTTTAACACCCCGATAATACAGTATCATTAACTACACCCCCATACTATAGAATAGGGAATAACAGCCGATCGTCTTTATCTCGAAGACGGAAAGTACCTGTGGAACCACCTATTGCATGCCAACAGCAGGGAAACCCATCGCTTTCTTCAACTACAGCTCCGTTAGCAGCGCCACCGCCTTCGATCTCAGTCTAGCAATCATTGGTTTCTCCCGTACACCAGCCTTCAAGTTGAACCACGTGGTAAGCCTAGGGTCATGAACTGTACGTCAAAGCTCAATCCTGACATCAAGATGTGACAGATCGTCAGATACATCGTTGATCCGCTCATGCGAAGGACAGGATGCTTCAGCCCTCACGCCGATGCAAAGTTGCGGTCCTTTCATCACCGCACCTCCAAATTGCAAAACAACGCCTTCAGCTCATGACATCTGACAGGCGCCCTGATTGATGGACAAGCAGTGATGTAGGTCGAAGAATTTAAAAGGGGCCGCTCGAACATTGATGGCATATAAGTCTGTACATTGATTGGTCGCAGCACCCACTTACTTCGCATGTACGATGCACGTCATGATGCAGGCATAACGATCCTTCGCTTCGTGCTCTGTAAGCTTTCCCATCGAAGCTGAACCCTATCCATGTTCAACCTACTATCCCAGATCCTCAAGTCTGTACATACTCTTCCGAGGCAACCGTTTTCTCAAAATACTTCCACGACTCAGGCATCAAGCCAAACCGCTTCTCTCAATCTCTCCGACGTTTTTCAACACCTCCACCTTTCCATCCGCCACTCACCATGACGCACACCACCCCCAAGACAATGCACGCGGCGGTCGTCCACAAGCCCGGTGGACCTAGTGCCCTCATCCTCGAGGACCGTCCCATCCCCACCCCCGATAAAGGCTGGGTCCTAATCCGCATCAAAGCATTCGGCCTCAACCGATCCGAAATGTTCACCCGCAAAGGTGCCTCCCCCGGGGTATCCTTCCCCCGCGTTCTTGGCATTGAAGCCACTGGTATCGTCGCCGCTGCGCCAGGAGGAGAGTTCAAGGAAGGTGAAATTGTCGCCACCATTGTTGGGGGAATGGGGCGAAATTTCGATGGCGGCTATGCGGAATACACATGTGTGTCTGCGAAGCAGGTTCAGGTGGTGGATGCGGATGGGATCGGCTGGGACATCTTGGGCGCGGTGCCGGAAATGGTGCATACAGCATGGGGAGCACTGTTCTCGTCGTTGCTGTTGAAGAAAGGGGAGAAGTTGCTGGTGAGAGGGGGATCGTCGTCTGTGGGCATGGCCGCCGCGGCCATTGCGAAGCACCATGGCGCTTTTGTCGTCTCGACCACTCGTAATGAGAGCAGAGCAGATCTGCTTCGTCGGAGTGGCGCGGATGACGTCCTTATCGACAGCGGAACCATCGCAGAAGAGGCGCGGAAGCGGTTCCCCGAGGGATTCGACAAGGTGCTCGAGCTCGTGGGCGTGGCGACGCTGGCGGACTCGCTGAAGGCCACGAAGAAGAACGGTATCGTGTGCTCGTGCGGTATCTTAGGGGATAAATGGGTGCTTCCCGAGCTCGATCCGAATTTCCTCATTCCAAGTGGCGTGTTTTTGACGACTTTTGCGAGCTTTGCGGATCCTTTCAGCGCCGGGCCCATAAATACGGTGGCACGCGCGATCAAGGATGGTAGTATGCAGATTCCTATCAAGACGTTCAAGCTTGATGAGATCGTTCAGGCGCACACGGAGATGGATGACAGCACTGCGGCTGCGAAGATTGTCATCCTGACGGACTAAGTATAGGATCTTGTATCAGACTAAATGGAATCAATGCAGGTTGGATGGAGAAGAACATGCCGTTAGGGAAACGAGGAATCTTCAACAGTATCTTTTCTGCGTCCCTTCCTTCTGATGGCTACTCGCCAGTACGTCAGAAACGGTCACTTGAAGCCACACCAATTTATGGGAAGAAGACTTGGCCTCGGCTCAGTCCGCATCGAAAACTTAAGGAGTGAGTGCTTTAACCGATTCGGCCAATGCCATTTATAGCGTTATAGGAAACCGCTATACTATACGATTAACATCAGCACTAGAATAGCATTATGGTCTATGATTCTTGTACTTCTTGAAATTATATCCCCATTCTCGACAAGTATCATCCTATCTGTCGTGAGGTAAGCATACCGATTACTCATACGAGCGTGATTGCTATTCGAGACACGTAAAGTGGTAGATAAATCGTAGTGCTGCTGAGAACTTGCGATACCTGAGGGACAAATCCCAGAGGATTTTGGGAAGAGGCCTATTAACATAACAGCATCAGGCAGCAGCTCACCTCGGTCGTGAGAAGCATTCATCTTAATGCACTCTGGCTTGCGTAAGCCTTACCGTCGTGCAGATGTCTGGCGGTGGGAGTCTTGCTCGGTACTCCGACGGCGCATCATTGTCCGGGTTTTCGTTAGCACGTCTGATCGGCTCCAAGTTGACTGGCCATGTTTTACTCCTCGCCCTGGCTCGCGCTCTTCATCACAGCTGCCGTACATTCATCCAGCGGCTCAGCTGCGACGGCAACGTCTTGTATGTCGTCTCGTAGTTATGTCAACTCGACACGTATCCCATGAATATACTCGTCGGCGCCTTTGAGATAGTCGTAAAATCGCTGTAACATAGGAACTAGGGAAACTCGGTCACATTTTGGCGTATCTCAAGTCTCTTTCCACGTCGTCTTGTCCGTCGTATGAGTCTAGTATGACTCCTTCGCATGACTGGCAAGCGGTGTTGCAGTTGATTGGTCGGCCATCAGCAAGTTTGTTAGTCTCTTTTCATCCTCTTGAAGGCTCCCTTGGTCGAAATACGCTTCCTGACTCGAGACTGCAGAGGCTTCTGCCCCCGGAAGAAGCGCTCGTGAGCACGTGCCCAGGTGTGGTAGTTATTGAGCTTCAGAAGCTCGAATTAAATACAAGACGTCTTGATTGTAGAGGGTTTCGAGCTATCGAAAATCATCTGGAGGAGGTCGTCGAGCGCCGTGGGCTCGTATCGCCGTGCTGGGGCGAAAATATCTTCGATGCTTGATAAGTCGTAGGGAGGCGATGATATAATTAACTAATGGCTGATCCGGTCCATGAGTGATAAGGCTCATGACCTGTTACAAGGACAGGTACTCGACAGCGAAAGAAAATTTGACCGATAGAGCTATGTGTGACTGACTCATGACTTAAGCGAAGAACATGAGGAAGAAAGCATGAACATGGTCGTGCTCCAATATACATACACAAATTCGCCCGGAGAACCTTCAACTGCCTTCACCAGGTTCCAGTAGCAGTGCTTTACAAATCTGGGGGATGCACAGTTTGATTCCTGAATGTTCTTCTGCGTTGAATTCAAGTGCGACAACTGCCTAATTTCCAACAATCGTCGGGGAAGAATGTCGAAACTAACCCCTTTGACCACACCTTCATGCTCGTCCAACAGTACTTCCCGCTTGAAATACGAAGTTTAGGGAAGAACGCGACAGTGGCAGCAGATATTCAACCACTTCCCTGTGACCATACCATCGCGCTAGCTCGATGGCGAGATCCCCTTTAGAATTTAAAATGCAGGGATCTGCTCCCCTTGCTACCAGCGCCTCAACCATGTCAAGCTTCCCCCACGACGCCGCCTCATGCAGAGGGGTCCCTATGCCAATACATTCTTGTAAACCATAACAGTACGGCCGATCCTGATACATGATGTCATTGATGGAAGGTCCCTTGTGCAAGTTGACTTCCTCCAAGACGAAATCTAGCACCCTAAGCCGATCAGGTAGAACCCGCCGCGCAGCATAGTGCAGCAGTTGCCCGTGGTTGGCTGAGCCACCATGATCGAAGAGTAACTGGATGATAGGAAATGAGGCCTCGGCAACGGCGATGGAAAGCGGGGTCTTGTCCAGCATGCATTCGGCATTTGGATCGGCCCCACGGGCCAGACACCACTTGGTAAGCTCTATATCGTGGAATGCTGCCCTAGAAAACCCAACTAGTCAATTTCGTCTCCATGGTAGGTTCAGAGGGACCTTACGTCAGCGGCCCAGGTTCACTCCAGCTCAGCTGCTCGTTGATATCAAATCCATGCTCCAGGAAGAGTTGTAGGAATGGATACGCTTTCAGCTCCAGAGCGCACTTGAAATGAGCCAAATCCATCATTACCCCAACACTTATGAGGAAGGACGCGGCAGCCAGATGATCGTTTTTTATAGCGACCTTGAAAGAACTTGCGAATTGATCTTTGTCTATTCGATCGTCCGCCGGTTTTTCAACCCATTCCGAACGGAACACAGCCTGGACAGCAGCCATATCACCCGAGGCGCAGGCCTCTTCCATTTGCACGATTTCTGCTCGACATGGCCGTGGTTGATATGGCGTGTCACCTGGATCGTACACTTCGAAAGGCTGATTTTGTGTGAAGTCAAAACCAAGGTCGAGTCCAAGATCGGGTATAGTATCATTGCTGATCGTTCCAAGGGGAGAGTCGAAGTAGTCGTTGACGCTTTGAATTGTCTTGCCAAGCACGCGTGCTCGGTCTGCATCGTTCAGCACAAGCAAAGACCCGCCATCAAACACGACCAATGAGTGTTCATCCATTCATACGAAGAACTCCGAGTCTTGAGGGTAGGACAGGGAATTGTAAAGATCACAGTATAGGATCTGACAATTGCAATATTTGGAAGAGTCTGTCAGTCACTTTATATGTACAAACGCAGGAGCTTGATGGCAGGGTTGATGATGAGAGTCATGAGGCACAAAGCGTTCAATCAGAATGATAGACCACAAGGCATGCCCCCTTTGGCCCAGGATCTACAGGCATGCAGACCCAACGCACGTCAATTTGGGGCCTCTCAGGGACTTCCCGTTGTCGTCGTCGATCATGAAGTTGTTTTATGTAAAAACTTTAGGTGTCTGCGGCTCAAAGTGGTGCCGGGCGGGAGCTTGTTCCGGGGTATATAGGGGCGAATCTTGTACCACATTCCAGTGCATGGGCATCGGAACGATTGGATGGGAGCGCAATTTGTCATCTTTGACGAGGCGAGCGGAGGTGAGGTCGACATGGATTTCTGTCCGGGTCAGCTTGGGCGTATTTATAATATTGTATGTAAAGCGCTATTTGTTGCATTGTATGGCCACCTGGCTGCTTTTTGATCTAGAAGTGGAATAACGGTGGTATGATTATTCTAGGCTTGATGCATCAAACGCATTGCGGAGTATCGAATGAGAGAGCCTCGGTAAGTGTAAGACTGTTGTCGCCTTCAAAGAGGTCGTCAACTCGATTTGGCTACCTGCTTGTTCTGTGTCTTCTGAGAACCATGCAAAATGACTAGTAATACAGCGTATGATTCAATGGATGCCTTGATATTGGATGAACACCATAGACGGCACCCTGCGGACACGTAAAATTTCCAAACGCCTCCAGCGCCTCGCTAAGTGGTAATACCAGATGCCAAAGTGTCTTTTGTGAGAATTGAAACACGATGCATCATCTCCTAGCCGCTGCTCCGAGCCTGCTGTAGGCTCGCTGAAGGGCTTTCTTCTCTTTGCCATCATGCTCAAGAACAGACACAACGTCCCTGAGTTGAATGCCAGAACCAGTATCCTTATCTTCCCTGAATTGTCCGAATACCCTACTTTTCGGTAAACCAAGACCAGCACCGTTCCCGCCTGAAGCTCCAATTTTGGAGCCCTGAGGACCTGCCTTGGGTTTGTTCGGTAGATATGGATTGCTAGGTGTTGTATCGGTGCCTCTTTTCATCCATGACGGCGTCGCCCTACTGCCAAAACCTAAAGCCATGTTCATTGTCTTGGTGGTGGCAGCATGCTGCGCCGCCTCGTTTACCTTCTTCGCCGCCGCTTCCTTGTTCTTACTCCCCCTCCTTGTATCTACATCAGGAGCTACGTCGCCGATGAGTCCAGCAGTAGCAGAACCTGTTCCATTGCTATCAGCTTTAGCTGCGCGACGTCGGCGCTTCGCGAGTCGTTCCTCTTCTTGAGCTCGCTCGTCTTTGGTAATCTTTTGAAGAGCGTGCACAACAGGGTTGGCAAATTGGATGGTGGTAGGCGTGGCTGGCTCGCTGGCAGAAGGAGTTAAAGGTCTATTGACTTCGGCGTAGGAGCCTATTGAGCAGTAAGTATGAGTTTGCGCAAATAGGACAAATAGGTCGTACGCTTGAGCGGATTGCTCTTTGGCGAGACAGCGCTGTTGCTAGGGGTTGGCAATCCGTTCGCTGTCTCAGTGGCTCCCTCGCCAGTTGCCAAATCAGCCAACTCAACCGGAACTACGGCATGCGACCCGATTCTCCTGCCCTTTGCCAGGTTTGCAGCGTCTTCCACAAGTCCACGCATTCGCTCCTCTGCAGCCAAGGAAAGTAAAGACAGTATCTCAACGTAGGGACCCTCCGTATTTAGCAAAGGTTCCCCCTTTACTATCCTTAGGTTCTCATTCTTGTCCGGACCATGGACAAGAAGCTGATGAGGAACAATCTGCCCGGTGACATTGTTTAACAGGCCATTCCGTGGGACCTGCACTTGCACAGTTTGAGCCTGTATTAAGAGTCGTCTTGATAGAGAACCACCCCAGAGGAACGGATCATTAAGGTGGTAGGATTTGATCTCAGCTTTGCGCCGTATGACCTTCTTTCGATCTGCAGCTGCGATCTCCTCAGCGGACATATATGGCTCTGCAGGCTGATTGAAGGTGCCAGCTCCATAGAAGCTATTTCGATCGCCGGGAACATTTGACGAATAGAAGTTGTCGGCGGATGTTGAATAGCTTGCTCCGAACGAATTGAATGAGCTCCCACCATAAACTGTATCCTGTCTTTGTTGGCCTGGCCGACCGTACGCCAATAACGCAGCTTCCTCCTCCCTAAGATCGACACCAGATCCCGCCAAAACGTCTCCTAGCTCGTTGATGTCCGTAGGCTTGTCAGCAGCAGGCCGCGAGGGAGGTCCCATTGTTCCCGTGGGTGGGGGCTGCGAGGGGGCGGCAGAATGGGGAGGAGGCGCATAATGCTGAGAGGGTGGGTGGTTCATGGAATTGTAGTTATTATTCGGCGTGTAGGGGCTTCCCGAACCGTATGTGTTACTCGGGCCGTAGGCGGGGCCTTGCTGGCTAGGGTATGAGGGACTTTGCTGGTTGCCGTAACTGTGATTTGTGTTGTAGGTGTGATTTGGTGGACCACCGTTTTGCTGAGTACCGTAGTATGGACTGCTAAAGACTTGATTCGGCAGAGCGATGTTCTGTATACCTGGCGAATTGTATGGCGACTGAGGATTTGGAGAGAGTCGCTGGCGTTTGTTCGCGGGGAAGGGATAAGGGGGGGCATGCTGAGGTGAGTCCGTCCGTCCTGGAGGGGAGAACACGCGCGGAGGGTATTGCTGCTGCTGCTGTTGCTGTTGGTGCGTCATGATGGAAAGGCACCCTCGGCGCTGCTCTCGATTGTCAAGGCCTCCTTCAAGACCGCCTAGAGGGGCAAGGCCACCTGCGCGAGCTTTGCTCTGCGCTCTGCCGCAGCTTTCTCCTAGTTTCCTCGCATCTGCGTACTTAGCCAGAGCCAAAAGAGTGTGGTAGGCGCAAGAGTCTTACGTGACTTGAAGCGCTGCAACGAAGGTTGTTGTGAGGATGGAGTGATAGATTGTCCATGAAAGAACCATGCCACTGTTGAAGCTAGGAATGCGGCTCCGCAATTTTCGTCATCACGTGCCCAGTCTTGGCACAAGCAAAAATAGCTCGCTTCAAGCTTGACTTGTTCCTTACTTGCATCCATCGCCGTGAGCAACACTACCGTCATCCGCGCATTCAAGCTTCTTTTCTATGCTACAAGGGCCATCTCTACAACTGCTACCGCTGCTTTCCCAGTATGATCGGGTGTCCAAAGACAGCAGGCGGCCATTTCGATCATTAGCAAGGACGCATTCCTTCATCACATTTCAGCATGGCTGCCAAGAGGAAGCTTGGAGCAATGGCGGAGGTGATCGAAGAACCTATCGACCCAGCGGATGAGCTCATGTTCCTTTGCCTAGGAGGTGGGAACGAAGTGGGCAGATCATGCCATATCATACAGTACAAGGGCAAGACCATCATGGTACGGCTTATGGCAGTCTTACTCTCTACGCTATACGTATTGTACTGACCAGACTATCTCACAGCTCGACGCTGGACAACACCCTGCCCGAGAAGGTCTTGCAGCTTTACCCTACTTCGACGAATTCGACCTTAGCACCATCGACATACTGCTCGTTAGCCAGTAAGTGCTCTATTTCCTCTCGGTAGCGATTTATCTTATAATATACGGGCATTGGGGTATTTTGGGGGGAGGTGTTCAGGACTTGGGAACACCGGCGGCATCCTTTGCTTTACTGGTGCTGGCATGACCAGCTCGTAGAGTCGGATAGTAGTCCGTACCCTTTGCGCAGGCCACTTGTTCGTCAAAAGTGTCAAAGCACGAGTATGTATGCAGAACATCAATTGAATGTCGTTCACCTCGGCCATGCTCCAATCCGCCGCCTCTGCTCGCCAGTGATGCCCCACCAGTCGCTCTTTGCTATGCCGTGCACTTCTGGCCTGAAAAGTTGCTGTCCATTTCTGGATCTTAAACATACGCCTCAAAATGATAATGATGCTGACCCTCGCGTTTCAGCTTCCATCTTGACCATGCCTCGGCGTTGCCCTACGTCCTTGCCAAAACCAACTTCAGAGGACGCGTCTTCATGACGCATCCTACAAAAGCGATTTACAAGTGGCTGATACAAGACAGTGTACGAGTACAGTACGTCCACGAGTCTTTCTGGAGCAATCGCCTAGCTGACTCCTTTGCAGGAGTCTCTCTTCCTCCTCCGAACAACGAACGGCCCTCTACACTGAAGCCGATCATCTTTCAACTTTCTCCCAGATCGAGGCCGTGGACTTCAATACAACGCACACCGTTTCCTCCATTCGGTTTACGCCATATCCTGCCGGCCATGTTCTAGGAGCTGCCATGTTCTTGATCGAGATAGCTGGTCTCAAGATCCTTTTTACAGGAGACTATTCGCGAGAAGATGACCGCCATTTGGTTTCCGCGGAAGTCCCAAGGGGCATCAAGATCGATGTACTCATCACAGAAAGCACATATGGCATTGCTACACACATACCGCGGGCAGAGCGAGAAACTGCATTAATGAAAAGTGTGACGGGTATACTCAATCGAGGAGGAAGAGTCTTGATGCCTGTCTTTGCCCTGGGACGAGCTCAGGAGCTTTTGCTAATTCTGGACGACTACTGGTCACGACACGCCGAGTTTCAGCGCATACCTATCTACTATGCCTCCAATCTTGCCAGGAAATGTATGGTAGTGTATCAAACGTACGTTTCCGCCATGAATGACAACATCAAGCGTCTTTTCCGCGAGAGAATGGCAGAAGCAGAACAAGCTGGTGATACTGATAGAGGTGGACCTTGGGATTTCCGTTTTGTTCGCAGTTTGAAGAACCTCGAACGATTTGATGATGTTGGGGGCTGTGTAGTACTGGCGAGTCCGGGTATGCTACAAAGCGGCATCAGCAGAGAGCTTCTTGAACGATGGGCGCCCAGCGATAGGAATGGGGTCGTGATCACTGGATACAGCGTAGAAGGAACAATGGCAAAACAGATGTCGCATGAGCCGGATAGCATACCAGCCATCATGACCAATCGAAGCGCAGCACCTGTGGGGAGAAGAGGTCCGGGCGCCAATGGTGAGGCCGAAAAGCCAATGATACCAAGGAGATGTAGCGTGCAAGAGTTCAGCTTTGCAGCTCATGTGGATGGTCAAGAGAATCAGAGTTTTATCGAGGAGGTTGCAGCTCCTGTTGTGGTATGCATGATCTACCCGATATCGATAAACTGTATTGACGACCCTTGCAGATACTCGTTCATGGAGAGAAACACAACATGATGCGTCTCAAGTCCAAGCTTCTTTCGCTCAACAACGACAAAGCAACCAAAACCAAAATCTTCAGCCCTGCCAACACCGAAGAACTTCGCATTCCATTCAAAGTTGACAAGACTGCCAGAGTGGTTGGACAACTTGCTCAGCTTCCTCCGCCCAAATCCTCGGACCCCGAGGAGGAAAGGCTCATTACCGGTGTCCTTGTACAGAACGATTTCAAGATGTCCCTGATGGCGCCTGAAGATCTCAGGGAGTATGCCGGATTGAACACGACCACGATCATGTGCAAGCAGAAGATCACGCTAAGCGCAGCTGGGATCGACTTGATCAAGTGGGCTTTGGAAGGAACTTTCGGTGCCATAGAGGAGATCAAGCCGCAGAAGAAGCCGTCGTCAAATGGGGCTACTCAGGTCAACGGCAACGGTGTGTCCCATGAAGAAGAAATAGCAGACGAAGAGATTGAATACTCTCCGCATGCGGTTGCGTACCTGGTCATGGGCTGTGTGATTGTTCGGTACCAGAACAACGGGCAGGTAGAGGTCGAATGGGAGGGCAACATGCTCAATGATGGGATTGCCGATGCAGTGCTGGCTGTACTATTCACAGCGGAAAGCAGTCCGGCTGCGGTCAAGCGTAGGTCTTGGCCTGACAGCGTTTATGCAAGATTGCTGATGTCTCTCAGAATCTTCGAAAAGTCATCAACACCACCACCATCAGGGTGAACGCAACCTTCACTCGAACGTCACACCGGAAGAGCGATTCTCACGTCTCTGCATGTTCCTTGAAGCCCAATTTGGTCCCTTAGTCACTCCTCTAGCCAAACCGAAAACCCTCCCTAAGCCGCCGAAGCCTGCGCTTGACGGCGACGGCATCAAGAACGAGCCCGAGGAAGAAGCAGATGAAGATGATGCGGAGGACCAGGAAGCAGAAGAAATCGAGAGGTTGCATAGTATTGGGATTCCCGTGCCTGGCGTTCAAATCAAAGTGGACAAGCAAGTGGTGAAGGTCTGGTTGGAGACGCTGGAGGTGGAGTGTGCGAGTAATGTGCTCCGGGAGAGGGTGAAGGCGGTAGTCGAGAGGGCGGTAGAAACGGTAGCTCCACTTTGGGGAAAGGGCAAGAATTGAGATGCGGTAGTCGGGACGATGATGACTGACATCTCTCGTACGATATCCTGGCGCTCTAGTAGCATTTGGCAGGAGCAGTGGTGTACCCACTGTGGTCCCATGAATTCTTGTTGCCTTATCGAGTGCAAATTTCCTACCCTGCTTTATTCTTCTATTATCCATTGATGTATCACTGGGAACAGAGAGCACGTAGTATGCTAGAGGCTGTGCTGTGTGAGAGATTCACGTGATTCGCCATTGGCTGTAGTCGCGTCATTGAGATTAGGTAGCTTCACTCTATCACTCTATCCGCCATTAAGGTAGGTACTTGTTATTGCCAGGAGTCAAAGGGAGAGATTTAATTCCCGCTCTGCTATATAATTCAAGCGCTCTGGTAAATAGTAGAGACTTTCCCAAGACAATTTCTTCTTATGAAGAAAGAAAAAAAGAAAAAGTCGAGGTTGCGCTTCTCGGCGAGTTACAGAATCCGTAGTCTTCCTAACAACCACCGTCGTCATTTCTTCCTCCCGAGTTTTGCTCTAGCTCTCGAATAGGCTTAGTGCACTTTCTCATCTCCAAATCCTCTCACCACCTCTCAAGCACTGTCCCCAAATCTTCAACGTCCACGACACAGCATTCCGCTGCCTTTACCAGGCTCTCAGCTGTGATCCAGGTTGATATTTATCTTGCCCAACATCTAGTCCTACTTTACACCCTCGCATTCACCCATTGCTGCCTCCCAAGAGGCTCGGGAATCCAACGCCTGACCAAGACTCCGCCTTTCCCCCCCAACGCGCGACCGAAACACCCACTAAAAGTGCTCATTTTCCACGGCCACCTCATTCCCAAGAGCAGAGAACACATCACCCAGATTCTCTCAACACTCGAGTCGGTCATGGAGAATCCATAGCCTTCGATTCAAAGCCTCTCTAGCCCAGGTGTCAGCACCATTTCTTGCCGCCCGACACCGAACAGCACTATCGGGCCACTCGATCAGATCTTCTCACCTACGATGAGCGATGTCTTTGCCTTCTACAATGACTGCAACTCTCCCTCCTCATAGCCCTCACTTCGGTCATCATTCAGCTTACAGCACCAACTCGGCTTCTTACGCAGCTAACAACTCATTGCCGAACGGATCCTCGTCGCGATTAGCTCCTTCTTACAGCTTTCCCAACAATACACCCGGATCCGTTCCACGGCCCTCCAATACCTCGGCTTCAAGACAACCCCCTCAGTCCAGCAATATGACAACTTCACAGTCTACATCAGCGTTGCAGGGATCGAGGAACAGAGAGAGGCGTCCAGATTGGCATGAATTTTACAAGAACGGACCACCTAAAGAGATCATTGTCATTGATGACGACTCACCACAACCTCCATCACGGAAAGAGAATGAGCGAGTTCCCCAGCAGCAACAGCCACAAGCAACAGTGAGAGGTGCAGAGCATGCCAACAAGAAGAGGCGGACCGGTCCCACAACCGCCTACGATGCTGCAAGGGATCAGCAAGCATTTTCCCATGCCCGTACATATTCGAATGGGAACAGTGGGTCCAACACGATCTCAACGGACCGAACCACATCGCTACAGACTACAGCACCTACATCATTGGGGTCACATTCGAGTCATGGGACCAGTGGAGCGTATGCCGAGGACAGTGTAGTGGGGCAGAAGAGGAAACGCGTAACGCGGCAACAGATTGCTGATGAGAAAAAGAGGAAGGAGATTGAGGTAGTAGGAGACGCATATAGTGCCTATGTGCCGCCACCGAAGCCTCCCATCAAGGCTCGAGATGTCCATGTGCCATCGATCAAAGATGTAAGGCATTTACCATACAGGCCAGAATCAGGACGCTGACTTTTGGAGAAGACTGTGACTACTCACGAGAAGATCGACGATGATGATGGCCATTACATAGTGACAGAGGATATGCCCATAGGTGACAGATGTGAGTGCCTCTCGAAGAGCGGACTGTCATTAGACGGACTGAGTGCTGACTGTTTGCAGATCAAGTGAACAGACTTCTGGGCCAGGGCACCTTCGGCAAAGTTGTAGAAGCTTTTGACAGACGGACAAGGTCGAAGTGCGCAATCAAGATCATTCGATCCGTGCAGAAATACCGGGATGCCTCGCGTATTGAGCTACGGGTGCTACAGACTTTGTCCCACAATGACCGACAGAATCGGAATAAATGCATACATCTACGGGACTGTTTCGACTTCCGTAACCACATCTGCATAGTCACCGATCTTCTGGGCCAGAGCGTCTTCGACTTTCTTAAGGGCAACCTCTTTGTGCCTTTTCCAAGCAGTCAGATTCAGAGTTTTGCTCGACAGCTCTTCACCAGCGTTGCTTGTATGTCCTCTATCCTACCTTGATTGGGTTTCAACTGACATTGTGCTCCAGTCTTGCATGACCTTAATCTAATACACACCGATCTAAAGCCGGAAAACATTCTCCTCGTCGGCAACTCATATCAAACCTTCACCTATAACCGCAACATCCCTTCTTCGTCTACTACAGTACAGCGCGTTGCACGCCAGCGGCGAGTCCTACTTGACACCGAGATCAGACTCATTGACTTTGGATCTGCAACGTTTGATGACGAATACCACTCCACCGTCGTTTCAACAAGGCACTATCGAGCACCGGAGATCATACTTAACCTAGGGTGGAGCTATCCGTGCGATATTTGGAGTATTGGCTGCATCCTCGTCGAATTCTTCACCGGTGATGCTCTCTTCCAAACGCATGATAATCTTGAGCATCTTGCAATGATGGAGAGCGTATGCGGCGGCAGGATTGAGCCTAAGCTGGTTCGGCAAGTCCAGGGCACTGGTCGAAACAATAATCGCAACCAAGCTGCAGCGTGAGTAATGTGTCTACTCTATTCACGAAATATGCTGATCAATCCCAGGTTTTTCACCCGAGGTTTGAAACTTGACTACCCAAACTCGGAGACTCCGAAGGCTTCGAAAAAGTATGTCAGGGCGATGAAGACACTTCCCGTATGTAATTCTTCGCGCCTTGCCGAGGGTAGCAGCTAAATAAGCTATAGGAGGTCATCCCCGCAAACACAGCGTTCAACAAGCAATTCCTCGACCTGCTTCGCCGTATCTTCGTGTATGACCCAAAGCAGCGTCTCACTGCGAAGCAGGCTCTCAAGCACCCCTGGTTTAAGGAGACCATTACGGATGATGGCACAGAGGCTGCGCGGATTAGGTTACAGCGGGAAAGGGCGAGGGAAGAGATTGATCTTGAGTACTATCAGAGCGGCGAGGACTGATCCTTGACGGATTGCCTCACGAAGCGTCTTCTATCCAAAAAGGGCAAGCTGCATTTTCTGCATAATGGAAAGCCTGCATGAGGTGGCGCAGGATAGTAACGACATGCATGAACATGGCGTAGGCAGCAAGGTATTTGGGTCTTGCTTGCGCAACTGAGGGATCAAAATGTGCATTATTCGTTTCAAGACGAAGAAGTGACGGACTTTGTTCACATGTTGTACATTCCTTTGTCGAGTATAAGACTTGGTAAAACGCCAAGCTCGGAAGGATAGAGGGTGTTTGTAGAGAATTCCAACCACTGTGCCCTCCATTGCCATAACTCCTCATATCTATCGCATCAAAGTCAACAACATCAGCGCCCACATAGTCTTGCCGTGATTGGTGCACGTAGCCAATCATGAGTCATGTGGGAGACCGAACCTTCACTTTCTATGACACTTTGGCAACACAAAAGCCTCCATCATTTCACTTCTCGAGCACCTTCACGCCCAGCAACACATACCGCAAATGATACAACCATGCCTCATTCGCGTACTAAATCGTTCCACTCCATTATGTCGTAGTTTTCACATTCACCTCCATCCTTGGCTTTCTTCCCACATACGCTTCATGCAGCGTGAGGATGAAGACGGTGGCAGTGGACTTGGCCTAGTGTTTTTGTTGGTAGATCCACTACCAACTCTACCACACGATCGTCTTATCTCTTACCGGGCTGGTATCGAGTTTCGCTGGATATCATCGCGCCTTACGTGGTAGACCGGGAGCTTTTACAGGTTTACGGCAGCTTGTTTCGAACACAAGCACAAGCACAAGCACACCTATCCGGCACATCTTCTTCTTTCGGTTCGTGAGCCGTCCATATCTCCAATCTTGTCCGCAAACTTACCTCGCTGTTGGTATCTCGCTAGGTTCGAAGAATCGTGGCGCCGGTGAGTTGCCTTCTGAATGTATGAGATGATGCACTAGCTAGCTGAGAAACGAGGTCGGCAAGTAGGTACGTCGAATACGGCCCGAGTCCCCTAAAGTTGGTTTCCGAGATCGAATAGCTATCTGTTCACCATCAAGTCGCCCTTTGTCCCATATCGGTTCCTTCGACTTCCATTGTTGGGTCTGCGGAGGGCCGGGCACCGACTTCCACTGAATATCTACCTGCTTGTGAGAAATCAGCAGAATAGACCGAGAGCTCGAGCAATCCAAGTCGAGCATCGTCTGCCGAAGATGGTCCACCGTATTTGGATGTTTCAAGCTCTGAGGAGGATGATTCCATTATCTCACACGCTGATGTGGTGGGTTTAAGAAATAGTCATCTTCTAACTGACCTTGCTAATGACTCTAGGACGGGCACGAATTCGATTATCGCAAAATTCTCCCGGCTCTTGTGCCCGAAGGTTGGGCCAATGACCCCAACGACCTTGAGCCAGTCAACCGTGCTCTGGCTACCGATGACTATAGTCTACCACCGTTTGTGCTACCGATACTAGCTTCTAGAGAGGATGGGCAGGCTGGTCGCTACTTGTTCTCGATCTTCGGAAGGTTTTATCTCTGGACTCCAGCCTCGAGTGAGTTTTTGTATGTGACCCAGTCTCACAACTTGCCGGGAAACTTGCAGTGTATTAACAAGCATTCGTTCGGGCTCCGAACCAGAGTCCTCGAACTATTGTCTTGCTGGTACTCTCAGCATCAGATTACACGTCTCCAACTCTGGTTTCGGTAAATTACAAAAGGCAGGTCGCAGGATACGAAGAAGCTCAAAGATATCAAGGAGCTAGTTGATGGCCATGAGTACGGTCTACACTTTCTATTCCGATCCTTGTCAACGATGGGCGATATGGCGGTACAAAGTATCTCATGAGGTGTGGTGACCGATACTATATCTTCCTCGACGTCTCCGCCATTATGCATCCAGTTGAAGAATTCACTGAGCTGAGTCAAATCCTACGTACGTCAGGCGGTCGACGATGGAAGGGTCTCAGGTTCGCGAAATGCGATCTGCTTCCGGGATATGGAGGCCCAAACATGGTGCCTGACGAAGAAGTTCCTCCCGGTTGGTTTATTCATGTCAACCGGGGCGTCTGCGAGAAGGAGCTTTTTTGTCGCCCTGAAACCTCTGTACCATCACTGCTACTTTTTCGTGAAGGTGGCCACGATCGCCCAGCCCTTTACTTGGTCGAGGGTTCCACTTCTTGTTGGTTCTATCTTTGGGATGCTGTCTCCAAGATCGAACGACCAAACGTACTGCAGCATATTTTGGACACATTGAAGGAGCGCGTCGAACAACTCACACTGGTCAGAAGTTGAGCTGAAACGTTGCCCAAAGCGTCTAGATCTATCATCTCAAACTTTCGTACGACGAGATTCCCGCGGGTTGGTACGACGACCTCAAAGGTCTTAGAGATCTTCGTCAGAATGTACCAGCTCAGGAGTACGGCTTGAGACTTCCTCTGCCAATCCTAACATTCGGAGGATCTTCCCTTGGCCTTGCTTATCAACCAACTCTTCCAGTGTGGGATGCACTACTATATCTACGACCAAGCGTCTTTTGACATACTCCGCATCAATGAGCCAAGGATGCTGCAGGACATCCTTCGAGTTCCGAACTTCACTTCTATGAACGCCCTACAGGGGCTTAATCTGGAGAACTTGGAGCTCCTCCCAGACTACGGAGGCTCGAACAGAGTCCCTGATAACGATGTACCCCAAGGGTGGACCAACCGAGTCAACCCCAAAATTGTCGACTACAAATGGTGCCGTGGGTACGGAATCAGCATTTGCCCAACCACACTCCTCTATTCGGAAAGCTACCTCGACGGAACACCCGCATGTCTATTCGAGTCCCAACCCAGCTTACGCTCCACTAATTATCTTTGCAAGCCTCCCTCCGACGCAATCTATCGTATCGATGGGACAGAAGGCTTGCCTGACGTTCTCGCGGTCTTAAAAGATGCGTCAGTAGAGCTGAAGCTTACGCTTCTCGAGTGGTTACCGGGCAGAGAGTCATACAGAATCGCGGATGATGAGATACCTCGCGGCTGGATGCGGGCGTCGAATCCTGATGCTTGCAATGCAATGCCGTGGAAAAAGCACAGGCTAGCGCCTCCAACACCTATCCTTTAATCTGTTTGTTCCGCCGATGGTAAATCGAAGTTCATCTTCCAGTCTGGCGGAGAGTTTTATTCTCGGAGATGCGACATCTAATGATATTCATCGCGTGAGCGCAGCGATGGGCATGGACAGCATCCTTCGGGTCTTAAAGGATCCGTCCCAAGAACTTAGACTTGGGAGAACCGATGGCCCAACTTATTGCAGTGACTCATGCAGAGAAGCAAGGAGCCGGAGAACACACGGGTTCTCTGTGACAGGAGCCCCAAGCCATACATCATATAAGAAATCAATGGCGTTTCACAACTCGAGGGTGGATCTAGTATCATTTACGCGGCCGAGTCTCACAATACAAGAGAGGAATAAAACTTGGTTGAGCGTTTCTCGTCTTACCTTCCCTTTGCTACGAATTGTGTCAAACGTCACGTTTACTTCGCTCATTATCCTAGCTCGTAACATGGATTGGGCTATTGATTTCTTCACGACCTATGGACCCGAGGACTGCTAATGCTACCGAGCGATAAAACAGTAGTCAAGGGAAAGCATGCCAAAAGGCGATAGACTTGGAAGCATGGCTTTTTGATAGTTGGAAAGTACTACACTGAAAGAAAGCTGCACGGCGTGACTCCATCAAGTTTTCGAATATCCCGTTCAAATGTCTTCTGGCTTGAATGCTTTATCTAAGCTGCGAAGAAGCGAGCCATAATGGAAATGCTCCCACTCAAAGTCCAAACGGGAAGTTCTCGAGTAACATTGTCTACATACTCCGTTTCTCAATGTTTTCCACTCCAACATTTCCCTTAACCTTTGAGATACTCACAGCAGATGCAGGTTCGCTAAGCACGACGACCCTAATACTTGATCGAGGCTGGAATATCCAACACATCTTCTAACGCCCTTGTTCCTGTGTTGCGAAGGCTTCCGCGTTCTTCCCGCAGCTTCGAGTTGTTACTGTTACCGGTTCGCATTGGTTGTAGAAAGGGCTGCTGCTCGGGTCTAAGCGCGCCGGAAAATGATTCGAAGCCACATAGGCGCTTTAAAAGCCTGGCGTTCAGAAAGAAGGGGAAGCTCGTTTCGAAGGAAAAAAAGGCCACATCGCTAAAGAATAGGTAATGAATGAACATCAACAACTTCGGGGCACACATCCAGTACTGCACCTTTCACTCTGAAGTATTTGCACCCTCGGCCTTCCATCTTTGACACAGCTATGACCCCATCTTGTTTTGCCGTAATTGGTGCCATTGTGCCATCATGAACCATTGGGAACAGAGTCATCTCCCTCTCACTTCACCCAAAAGAACAAATCCTCTTCAAAATGACACATTCCACCTAATTCCCGGGCTAAGATGCCGGTGTCGTTGTGAGATCTACCTTCTACCTCCCACGCTCGAACCAACAAAGTGTTCTTGGTGACTCGTTGCACTGTACTACACGAAAAGCTAGTCTTGTCTCTCATGGGTGGACACGGCCGCCGGTATTCAGCTTCTTTGGGTTCCAAGCCTACTTGGTATTGCATTTCTACCAATTTTTCAGGTACCACAAAATTCAAGCCGCGAGGAACCCTTGCCGCCAAAAGCTATCCGACGCGCACTCGACGAGCTGTTGCCATTTCGCGAGACTTTTAGCGCCATGTCACTGGTAAGTAGCCATTAATTTGGAGGAAGCATGGCCCTTACTTCGTGCGTGCATGATCTGATCTGTCAAAGCCGCAAGCCCTTAGCGACCTCGATCATTCTGATATGACTCCCAAGACTAAACATCTCTACAATGACGCCTACGTTGATGCGACTTCCAGGTTGTCTCATGCCCGGGATTCCCAGTGGGTCTTCGGGCATATTCAGTCCAAAACTAGGGACTAAGGATACTCCGTCTGCGCCGGATGGGAGCTCGAGTTCATCGAGTCGAGTAGTATCCTCCGAGCATAGTGCGGCGGCCTAGGAGCAGTCGACCTCTCAAGACGACGAGCGAAAATCCTACGGAGTTGCAGAAGCTGTGAGTACTGCTTTTGATTTAGCTTGATTAGATCACACTGACCACAATAGAGCGGGTACAGATTTCGCTACCGATGAGTTAAAATGAATCATGTACCTAAGAGTTGGTCGAATGATCTACATCCACTCGAGAGCATCAGTGGCACGTATTCTGCGGGTACACTCTAGACCCACCAACATTACCAATTCTGGTCTCGGACGCAACTACTACTCCTCGGCGCTATCTCATCTCTGATTTTGGAAAGTTCTACTTCTGGATACCTTTGGCGTAGGAAATCCTCTATGTGACAGAATGTATTACTTGGAAAGCGTCCTGCAGTACGAGCTACACACCAGGTCCCTCGAACCATTTGCTCTGCAGTACAATCAGCAACATTACATACCTTCCTCTATGGTTTTGGCGAGTTCCTCACCGCTGATTACAAGACGTACAAGAGCTAGAAGACCTCAAAGAAACGGTGTCAGGACGAGAACACGGCATACATCTTCCTGTCCCAATCCTTGCGAGCGATGGGAGCAGCGGAAGTTCAGAGTTTCTGATGAAATGTGGGCAGGAATTTTATCTCTTCTACGAGATTGCTCATCAAGTTCTCCACATTGATGGGCCATCGAATCTTCGTAACATTCTTTTTGTCCTTGGCACTTGCGAGGATCTGAAGGTCACACCTCTCATTCTTCTCCCTGAATCTGGTGGTCCAAACGATGTCGCTAACAACACTGTTCCGAGCGGTTGGTCTAATAAGATAGACAAAGAGATCTCCTGTACAGATCGGAGAATACTGAAACCGACACTTTTCTGGTATATGGAGGTGAGAAGAGGACTACTGAGGAAAGAGTGCCGGAGGGACGGACCAACAGGTCGACGAAAAGCCACATTCCCGCCATGTCTCCCAAACACAAGTAATCAAATCTCTGTCACGACTCCTATACTGGGAGGCTTACCCAGATGACAAGCCTCTGTAGAATTCACATGGGCCACTATTTCTGGGATAGATTATCCAACAACATCTCCCGTATCAATGAGGCGGAAGGACTGCACGACATTCTCGACATCTTGAAGGATTCATCTCGACAGCTCACACTTTCGCGATTCATCCTCAGTAATACTCCGAATCGACCGCATAGAGCATTGAAAGGAGCCGCTGCGATGAAACGGAAGGAGACTGAAGCTTCCTGAAAGCCTTGAATGACTCTCTAATCAGCTTCTGGTCCTGTATCTTGGCAGCTTTGGGAAGAATACCTTTGGAATAAGAATTAGAGAAAATCAAGTAATAACGTCAATCACCACTTTTAAACCGGTGGTCCTTTGTATTTGACAATAACACTAACTCTGTCAATCGGGATGTCGCCGCAGAACTGGCATGCATCGAAGTCAATATGGGTGCAAAGTATTCAATCCTGGGGCTTGTGATAAGTCCGGTTGCGCCGCGACGTAAATGCTGATCATAGGTGCAGAGACAGTGTTAGAGGTATCACCAAAGTTGTCCATCCTCTCCACAAATCCTTGAGTCCGCAGATGACAGCAACTTGTTTTCCTCCCTAGAACCTCGTTCGTTCAACCTCGTTCTCGCCAAATCTTTGCTCCATCGTATGGCAAGCTTGAGCAAATCGCCACTCCCCAGAACCGTGTAGGAGATGACAATTTGATCTTGGTTCCTGCGCGTGCATGGCATTGCTTGGCTTGACATGAAAAAGGAAGCCAAACAAAAGAGGATAGTTTCTCCGCTGCTGTCAGCGATCTAGGCTTTCCTTGGAGTAAACCTCGAGCTTGGCGGAGCACCTGCCCCTTCGAAGCCAACAGAGGATGGATTGCAAAAACATCTCCTAGTAAGATGTGAAGGATAGGGACCGTCGTTGAGATAGAGAGCGCACTTTTTCCAAGAAGATGATTTCAATCAGTACACACCCTAGGCACTGAACCATTCAAAGACCCCGCTCGCCATTTCCAACAAGCTCAAGAGCATGCGAATCCTTTTCCCAAACCGGTCCTTCGCGTCCACGCCGTTGGTTTCTTCCGCGGACAAATCGCCAGAATACCAGCTACCCTTATCATGAAGCTCTCCGACTCCTTCACGCTGGCCGCTCTCGCCCTTGCCAAGCTCGCACAGGCCACCCCAACCGAAAGAATCACAGCTACAACTCCTCATCATGTTTGCGGAGCTGCCACTCTTCACCAAGGTACGCGTCTTCACCGAGCTAGCCATCTTCACAGGCGGCGTCTTCACTGCTATTGAAGACGGTCGATCCTGACCTGAGACAACAGTGGGGGCGACGGCTGGAGAGAAAGAGGTGGAGGGAAACGCCAGTGGAGTCCTAATGAGACGGACGTGGGGTATCTTGTCAAGGGCTTGGTGTGACCACGCGAGTGGGAAGAGTGATGACGCGGAAGCTAAGGCGGAGCTTGAGGTTGCGGAACGGGAAGGACAGAGCCTTTGAGACGGCTCAAAGAGGGGGCCTGGAAACGCCGAGAAGGAAAATGGTCAGGGCACTGGAGCAGCAGAAGCGTTTCAAATTTTATGAATGACTGACTGGACTGGCTCGGCTCCAGTGGTTATTCAATCACAAAAATGGCGTATGAATGGAAATCTCACCCAAAATTGTATGTAAATCTGCTCAACCTGCGTCTATGTACATGGCATCGACGGCGAAAAGTCCGTCTATATTCCTCGATTGAATTCCACTTTCCCATCTTTGCCACCTTTTCCCCAGAACTGCTCTTCCAGAGACTTCGCCGAAACTGCCTGTCTTTGGGGGAAAGCGGCCAAAGCGAGAGGGAGGGCAAAGATGGAAGTTGTGAGGATCAGGCCTGTTTCTGTATTAGTCATAGGGTTTTGATCGGTAGACAGTGCCGCATACCTAGATTCACAGGCAGCGTCATCTTCGGTCTCCGCTTCAGCCATTCTGTCTGCTGTAACCGTACCAAGATCAAAGGCGGCAGCACCATGATGGGCGTGGAGTTGAGCACTCTGCTCAGAGCTGTCTCTCCAACCGCCAGTGTAGCAGCTTTCTTGCTTTTGCCAAGAC